TATTTTTCTTTCCAAGTCTGTGAAGAATTGTGTTGGGATTTTGATGGGGATTGCATTGAATCTGTAGATTGCTTTTGGTAAGATACAAGCAATAAAATTTAAGAACTAAAAAATACTCAAAAGAAATAACTGCTTAGCCCTAGCTCCTGAACTAGGGGTGGTTTGGTTGGTGGAAACAGGGAGGGCCAGCCACCTGTCCCAGCACAAAAGAAAAATAGCCCCGAAGTGGGCAACTGTTCATACAGAGCTGACCAGACGAGTGCACAGTCTTGGGAGACAATTTATCATTACTTTTAGAACTTACACAATTGCCTTAACAAAAGAGCATTAACAACAGTGAATTAATTATCTCATATGTACTAAAGCAGAAATAACTATGAGTCAGGAATTTCATAGTCTCAAGGTTGGTTTTCTTTACACTTGAACAGCTGTAGTGATGTAAATAAAGTGTGGCACTGCTTGAATTCAAAGCTTCCTCTTTTTTTTTTTTTGTCTGTGTGTCCATACGTCAATTAAAATTATTAAAATTATAAATCCTCTTGGACGATGACATGAGATTGGAGTGACACCTTTCCTCTCATAAGTTGCTTTTGGTCAGAGTGTTTTTTATCAACAGAAATGAAACTCCGACAACCCGTTAAGAACAGATTCTAACTTGATCTGGAGGTGGTGGGAATGGGGGGGTGGGCTGGGAGGAAGGGGAGGGGGGCAGGAAGGGGGAGAACAAGGGAATCTGTGGCTGTTATGTAGAACTGAATAGTATTGTAAAATAAATAAAAGGAAATAAAATAAAATACAAATAGTAAATCTGAAAATAAAAAATTAAAAAAAAAAGAACAGATTCTAGTGTCAGCCAGTGCAAGCGCATTGTTGTTTGTGAATATGTCACCCGACCAGTGGAGACTGACACATCCAAGGGCTTCTGCCTTGTTCACCAAGATGAACACTCTGCTGCATCGTGAGAAGGATCTTCAGAAATGGAAAAGTATATTCTTTGACCACAATGGAATTAAATGAGAAATAAAGGGATTTGGAGCCCCCCCCCCCCCCCCCCCAAAAAAAACCCTTGGGAATTAAGCAGCACACTTCTAAACAACTTGTGATAAAGATGAAGAAGGCAAGAACAGGGTTGACTGACATTACTCGTGTAGGGCTATTTCTAGATTATGACTTTGGGAAGGTAGACTTTGGTGATGTGACCAATAGTTCTCCCTTTTATAGTCTCTTCTCTTCCCCTCTCAGTTCTGTACCAACAATGTCAGTACCCCCCCAAAAAACTAGTGTCTATTCGATTGGCTTTAATTTCTGTTTGTGCACAATATAATGTTTCTGCTTTTTCTTTAGGTACTGATAGTTAAGCTTATAAATTTGTCTCAGTTTTGTTAGAGATACTCTCTTTTTATAAAAAGATTTGGGCACTGGGGGATATGGCTCAGAAGGTAAAATTACTAGAAACAAACCTGACACCTGAATTTTATCCCCAGAACCCAGGTAAAAAGCCAGATGCCGCAGCATCTGTCTGTCATCCCAGCACCCTTAACAGCAAAATGGGAGGCAGGAGAACCAACCACCCTGAAACTTGAGCCAGTTAACCTGAATATGCAGCACAGTAGCAGAAGCAGACCCTGTCTCAAAGTGGAAGGTGAAAACCAACTCCCCAAAGTTCTCCTCTGATCTACACATACACACACACACACACACACACACACACACACACACACACACACACACACACACACAGATGGGGAGACCTTTATGTGTACTTTAGGGTTGCATACTACATGGTTTCAGCTCTGTGATAGAGTGAAGGATAAAGATAATATA